TATATATATATATATATATATATATATATATATATATATATATATATATATATATATATATATATATATATATATATATATATATATATATATATATATATATATATATATATATATATATATATATATATATATATATATATATATATATATATATATAGGGGGCGGTTCAGGTGAGAATGCACCTTAGTGAAAGAAATAAGAATAAAATCTAGCCTTTGGATCTGATGCATCGTGCGGCTCAGATTGCATCCTGCACTCGATCAGATTTTCAGATAGTGCATTTTCAAAGGATTTTGGTGCATTTCGACATGATGCATTTTCAAATCATTTTGGTGCACCTAATTTTGATGCAATCCTGATCCTTAGATCTCACAATCTAAAGCATCAGATTCATTCTTATTTCTTTCATAAGATTGCATTCTCACCTGAACATATACACAAGAAGAAAGAATATACACACAACAGATGAGAGAAGGGAGTAGATAACGATATACATCATCACGAGTTTCATGGTTTGAAGTAAACCCCCAAGTTTTGGTTTGCCTTTAGGTGGGGCGCGTGGTGCGGTACAAGATTAGATGACAAAATGGTTTCCTCTTTGGGTTTCCTTGGTGCACCATCCTAACTCATTTTTGGATCAAACATTGTGTTGATGATGAGCCTGCATGCCTTTTAATTTGGTGCACCACTTCAACAATTTTGTCGTTGGGAACATGAGGATCTCCATCTTCATCAATGAGTTCTGCATGCCAATTTTAAGAATAATAATAAGCTAGCTACCATATGTTCATGCATGTCAAATATATATATGTCGTCCCAAATTAAATCGCATATTTACTATTCACACGATTGAATTTCATTCAGTTTTTTACCATATTTTCGTTACTCATCATATCGTATATGTTATTGATGTTACAATTTTTGTACGGATTACAACGGACGGGGAAGATGAACGGCCCCGTAAATAAACAATAAATAAAATTCTGAATTTATAATTTATTCAGAATATTACAAAATAAATAAAGTTGAAAATAAATTTCTATATCTTCAAATGGCCTTGTTGTACGAGGACATTAAGGACTGGACAACGAGGGCGTTAAGCACTGGACAGCAAGGTCTTTAAGCACTGGACAGTGAGGTCTTTAAACACTGGACAGCGATTCAAGGACGTTATGCACAGGGCTGCGAGGACATTATGCACTGGGCTGCGAGGACATTATGCACTAGGACAGAATGCAGCGAGGTCTTTATGAACTGAACCTGCAAAA